GAAGGAAGTAACACCACTATATTTAAGAAGGGAAAAACAAACAAACAAACAAACAAACAAACAAAAAACAAACAAAAAAAAACCCCACCAAACCTACCTCACTACAATCTCATTTCAGGTACTTGTAGAAACTGATGAGGTCTCTTCTCAGCCTCCTTTTCTCCAGGTTAAAGAACCCCAGCTCCCTCAGCTATTCCTCACAGAACTTGTGCTCCAGACCCTTCATCAGCTTTGTTGCCTTTCCTTGGACACATTCCAGCACTTCAAGGTCTTTCTTGTCATGAGGGGTTGTAGAAAGAAGTCCTTTCTCCTGAACTTACTCATTTACATTTAAAAGTTAATTGAATTCAGTCAATGACACACTGTCAATGTGCATGTTTTTCCTGGCTAAGTGTATATCCAACCTACTGGCCTTGTGTTCCTTTTAAAACAGGGCACCAATATGAAATCTTAAACAGAAAACTACATGTTTTTTAATATTTCAAAAATGCACGGCTGAAGTGGGGAAAGATTTCCTCAAGTCCAGACTGGATCTCTGCATGCACTGAGTAAGAAGTAGTAGAAGAGCTTTGCATCCTTCTTTGCTTCCTTCCTCAGCACAAAAAGCTGCCTTTCTGTAGGATTAAATTTCTGACTGCCAGAAGCAGCACAGCCTTCAAACAGGGAAGGATTTTCTGCCCAGAACCCCATTCTGATAGGTGTAGCGCGTAAGAGCGCCCACAGGGCTTATCCTCATTTCCTCATCTCAGTGCCATCACAGTACAGTGCAACAGGTTATGCATTACCAATGCCACCAGCTGAAATAGCTCTCATGCCTTTCTCTTACCAGTTAAATGCAAGCAGGGTAAGCAAATCCAACAAATTAAGATGCAGATTTGAGATACAGATCTACCTCTCCTATTTGATTTTTATGAGGGTTAATGCATAACCTCTTCGAATTTCATTAATTTTTAATCACTTCTCTCTCACTTCCTTTCAATACTTATGGGGGGCTTATAAGAAAGATGGGTATAGACCTTCTATCAGGGTCTATTGCAATAGGATAAAGGTTTTAAACTGAATTGAGGGTAGATTCAGAGTACACATAAGGAGGAGATTTTTTTTTTTATGATGGTGGTGCAGTACTGGAAAAGGTTGCCCAGTTTGGTGGTAGGTGCCCCATCCCCAGAAGCATTCACAGTCAGATGGGACAGGGCTCTGGGCAATCTGATCTAGCTGGAGAAGACCCTGCTTATTGCAAGGGGGTTGAACTAGATTACCTCTAAATGTCCCTTCCAACCCAAACCATTCCAATTCTGTGATTCTATGATTTAATAACAGAAATATTGAATAAGACTGTTGCATTCACATACTTTTTAGAGGGATGGAGCAGGAAGGGTAGGAAATAAGATTTAGGAAGGAGGCAGTGACCATCAGCCAAGTCATGAACACCACTGCCATGCCCAGGCTCTGAAGAGAACAGTCAACTTGATCTTCTTATTGGGTCTCTCAGTTCTTCCTGGAGGAGGGATCTTCATGGGTCACTAGGGAGTGCTGCATGAGCACAGTGACACAGACACAGCTGGCTGCTGTTTTGTGGGGAAGGCGCCAGTACCTCATTCACCCTCCCTTCCAGTATAGCCAGCATGATACTCTTTTCTGTGGTTCTTTTGTAGTTATTTTCCAAACTGCAGAGAACTATTTCAGGGTTAATTAAGTTTGGTTCAAAGCTTACTGAATGTTGACAGCAATGCTTTTGTCATTTCTGACAATTGACAATTCTAATAAAACAAACATTTTATACCCTTGTATTTCTAAGTATAGCTCTTTTGACTCTACCAGAACCTAAATAAACCAAAACACACAGTTCTTAGCTATTCAGTTGAGCTTTGCAGTTTCTATGCACACCGACTGCTTGCTGTGAACTGGCTGTACAGAACTTAATGGGAGCTGGAGAACTGGGTCACTCTTGACTTTGTCATTATCATCTCATTTAGTCCACACCATCACAGCAAGCAAGCAGGAATTTATACAATAAAATTTACTATGCATTTATTCCATGCATTCTTCAGCAGCTCTTGCTTCAAAGCATACTAACAAAGAGGTTAGCTGTAACTGAAACAAAGCAAGTAACACCTGCCTTGACTCAGGGATGTTGTACAAAGCTTCAAAGTGTGCTGTAAGTTATAAACACTAGGTATTTCTTTAGTAGTTACATTTTCACCGGAACACTTTAGGACAGCCTGGATTCTCTTGCTGTGTTTTCAAGCATCTGAAAACGTTCTGCAGATCATGCTTAAGGTTTTGAACTGAAGCACAATCTATGCACATCCAGTATTTCACAGCTGTGGTTTTATTGACCCATCTCATATTGCTCACAACAGATTAACATCTCTTCTGTATAGTGGAATTTTAATCTAGAAGTGATCAGCATTTAATCTTAGTTACTGCACTTGTGCCCTCGTTTGTAGAGACCATCATCTTTAGTCAAACGATTCAAGCCAACTGTCTTTGACATTTATAAGCATGTTTGCTCAATTAAAAAAAAAAAAAGGAATAAGAAGTTAGTACTTTTCATTTATATTTCATCAGACTATTGCCTTAAGTAGTGGCTTCCATGAGAATAGCCCCAGCTAATTTCCAGTCAATAAATCATCAACCACTGTATTTCTCTGCTCGTCATCCCAAATGCTATTCTTCTGGTCAGTGTCTTCACAAGTGTTACTGACTATAACCTCAGAAATAATTTCAAAAGCAATGGCTTTCTCTTACTTCTGGATTCCCTATCATACTCCAGCTACGAATGTACTGCACTTTTCTGTAGCTGTAGGATTGCATTCCATGCCAGTCAAAAATACTTAATTTTCTCTACTACCACTAGCATCCAAAAACTACTGTCATACAATGCTGTCCAGACTTAACATAAACAACTCTCTCAGTATATTTCTGTATTGCAAAACATTATTTGGTTCCATTTTTGCCAAATATTACCACTAACACTTTGGAATTAAAATACTCATTATTTGTACTTAAACAGTTACTGTGGTAAAAGTTTTAAAAAATATAGTTAAAAATAATTCCTATCCTAAATCACCGGGTATGGCTCAAGATTTCACTCTTATGACTACAGCCACTTAATCTACTGAGAACTCATACCAGGCTGAGTCAGAATCTCAAGAAATGAAGAATGATGTTCCTGAAATCCCTTCTTTCATCATGGGGATCAAATTCATAAGCTTAACACTACAAGAAACCCAAGTGGTGGATGGAGGGGAAAGGCTGATGACAAGTTTTGGAGAGAGAAATCATTTTCAGGTAGATGCTAGCCAACAAGCTTGTTCACTTTTGTTAAGAGTGACCCCTTTTGGGTTTGGTTTGGTTTGGTTTTGCTGTTGTTTTTAAATTGAAATTCTTGACATGTTAGATTTGGTACAAAAAGCATTTACATAAAATGAAGAAACTGTTTATATAACAGCAAAAGAGACAGAACATATATCACAGCAGCGACAGTTTAATAGTATGAGACAACTGAAGAAAGTTTGGCCTGACAAAGTACTTCATACTGAAGTTTTTATTAATTATTAAGGTCTATGTTGGAAAAACAACAGTGCCAGAATCAGGTATTAGGAAACTGACATATAAAAGTAAGTAAATTTCCATATGTCACTGTTGTCAGGAATCATAAAATAGTCTGATTCTACATTCTGATTCTCTCCCACTCTTTGCAACAATTAATCTTCATCTTGTGTTTCTAACAAGCACTGCTGATTTTCTTTCATTCTCTTCAGACTTTTTTTCTTCATTGAAATATTTTCCTCACTACAGAACACAAGAATTGTTACTTCCCAGTTTCTCCTTACCATCAGACCCTTCATAGCAGTACTGGAAGCGTTTCACAATTGAAGTCACCTTCCAGTCAGTGGTAGCCGAGTTGGGACATAAAACAGTTGAGACAACAAAGGATCACTAACACTCAGGAACGTATAGCTCTGGAAAGCATGAAGTCTTCTACTCCATTACGTGCTCTTTCCTATACCCAATGTATATTTTCATATGCTTCTTGATTATCAATTTAATTCCAAGTTTTGCCTTAGTTCTCTATCCAAATCCAGATTGCCTCCAAAAACCTACATACACTACTTCCTTCCAATCTTACCATGTAGCCAAACTATCTCCCTGTCAAGCAAGACTTTAATCCACTCTCCTTTCCTCCTGACATCTATTTTCTGGGCATCACTCTACCCCTGTTCTAGCTCATCTTGTTTTGACTTGCATAAACCCAAACTGTTTCCCCCCCCACCACTGGCTACCAGGCTGCCACTAACCAGCTGGGCAAGATTTAGTCCCAGTGTCATTCACCCAGTGTCCTACCACTGCTACACCACTTACAAGCGGCACACCCATCCTGATTTTCCTTGCCTGGCTCCTTGTCCTCTCACACAGCTGCTTCTTACATGTCACAACTTCCTTGTCTCAACTTCCAAAGCCAGCTTCTTCCTCCACATTGCCTGTACCGAGCACGAAGGAATCTTCTCCCATTTCCAGTGAAACAAAGACGTCATATCTAGGCTCGGCCTGTCTTTAGTGCCTAGCAAGTTCCCACGGGTGTGGAAGTAAGGCAAACATTGGTAAGTCTAAAGTGACGACAAAAAGATGGGCTCCTGAAGTGGGAGACGTGGCACTACCTCCCTCAGAGGGCCGCTCACCTGCCTCACCTCGAAGCCACCAGTATTTCAGGGGCACACTAGACCTTGGCCACGTACTCGAGACTCCAGCGGTGCCTGCCACAACCCTGCCCTGCCCCCTGCCCCCGTGCTCCGGCCCACCACCCCGGCGATGCCGTGGCCGGGCAGCGCACACACCCGCACCGCCCCGCGGCTGCCTGGCAGCCCGCCGGCCGGACTTCGCCATCTCCCCCAGCCGATCCCGCCATCCCCGCGGGCCGGCCGGGGCCGCCGCCGGGCGGGGCTCTGGGAGCGGCTGAGGCGGTGCTGCCGCGCCGCCGCTGCCCCGGGGTGGCCCGGCCCAGCCCGGCCCTGCCCCGCGCTGCCGGCCGCAGGTGCTTAAATAGCGGCGCCAGCTGCACTGCCGCGTCCTTCGCAACGCGGGAAGGTAAGGGAGGGTCGGGTGAGGGGCTCCTTCGCGGGCTGCATTTGCCCGCACCGCCTGGGAGGCCGCGGGGCCCTGCAGCTGTGCCGGCGGGGCGGGCTTGGACAGTCGGTCCCGCCGTGTTGCGGAGGGTCTGTCCCGGGTGAGGGCGCAGCGCGGGGGGCGGGGGGCGCCGGGCCGGCTCGTCCTCCGTGTGCCCCCGGTGAGAGGCCGCGGCATGCGAGCGGGATCGTGCCACGTCTCCCAGCCGCCGCCATTCCCGTGTTTTCACTCTCCTGCAGGGTGGGAGCGGACCTGCCCCACCCGGCGTCTGAATTATCCGGGGCGCAAGTGTCCAGTCTTCTCCCTGGAGAGCCCACGGCTCCCTACGCTGCTTCCACAATGACCCTTACGCCATCTCTGTGAGAGGATGGAATGTCTCTGAAGGGACCTCTTCAGCTGTTCTGCTGACACACAGTATTCTCGTGGCTGCTGGTGGCATACGACTGGGAGGGCCCAGGTGAGGAGGCTCAGGTGCTGCTCCCTCACGGAGAGGAGGTGGGCAGGCTGCACTGCCTCATTCCTTGCTCCAGAATGATGCACGGGAGCTTTCGGGACATGCCATCCTGTTGAAGACCTTAGTGCGTCTTAAAAACACTGATTTACTTAGAATAGGACATGCCTGGTGGACTGATAGGTAAGGAGGGGTGTGCCGTGGAATGCTGCCTTTCCTAGATGGAGTAGAGGTTACTTGCTTGTCCATTAAGTTGTCTGTGTTTTAATGCCCCAGGCCAGCCTTAGGAAACTGGTATGGGATGGCTTCAAGTAGCTTTTGGAGCCCTGCATCTCTCTGATGGTCTCTATGGTCTGTCCTATGTGTCAAAGATCTGTAAGTCTCTTTGTCTTGTGCCTTTTGCTGCAATGATGTACATCAGCCCTGTGGGACAGACCTTCCCCGGAATTGATCTGTCTTGTGTTTCCTGCTGGAAAAATGTCGGCTCTGGCTTTAACTGTTTCTACCTTCTCCCCAGTCTCCCTGCAGGTACTCCAGAAAATAGGAGATGTTTTGCCATGGCTCTTGTGTGCCACTAGTGTGTCACACAAAAAGCATCCCACCCACAAGCATGGGCTAATTTTTGAATCTAGGTGCTGTCCTAGTTGCCTGCATGGCATCCAACCAACAGGTTACCAAGCTTTGTTTTGTAAGCTCCTCACTGTGTTCAGGGTCCTGGCATCCAATTGTGGCATCAGTATTCTTCCCTGATGAAGTGAGAGAGGAACATTTGTGTATCAGCTTTTGTTGTAGCTGCTTTTTTCTTGAAAAGGAGGGGACACAAGTTGGCAGCTTTGCAGTTCTGTCTAGCACATATTAGAATCCCTGACAGTGCCGGTTTGTGGTGAGAAGGATCCCTGGGGCACATATGTCTGGATACTGGCAGGATCCCACTTTCTGAAACTTCCTACTGCAGCTGTTTTCCAGCACTTCTCTAGACACTGATTCCTGCCCTACCTGCTATGGTCATAAATTGTAGCAGAGCATTACCCTTCCTATACTGTGAGCTGAAACAATGATTTTGTCAACCCGTATGGGCAGAGTTTCTGGGCCAGCGTTTCTCTCCTTAGAAATCTTTACACACAGTGTCTAAATCTTGGAATCTTCCTTCTAGAATATCAGAGTTGTATATTCTGTGACATAGGAGCATTGTCAAGCATTGATTAGAGATTACATACATAAGAGATCAAATTGGATGTATTTGACATCTCAGAACTTGTTGGAGTATGTAGTCCTGATGTTGCTTGAAAGTAGAAAACTGAAAGTACATCCTTTGGGCATTTCGCCCTTCAAATAAGTGGTTAAAAACACCATGAGGAGGGAGGAGTGTGGGAATGAAGGCTGCACATTCCAATTTAGTTTAACCAGCTGTACTCATTGATGGGTGTCTCTGCTGAATGTCAGGAGTCCAGTCCAGGGGGAAACTGTGTGCGTAAAGAACAGAAAATGGTGGAGGTACGGAGACGGATGAGAACAAAGAAGGAAATTAGACATAGGGAGTGAGAAGGAGTAGGGAGCCATTCATGTTTTGACATGGAAGTTAAACTGAATGAAGTTGAGAGGATTTTTCCTTACAGGTAGCTTGACCTGTAAGGAGTTGTGATTTAATTTGAAACGTGGGAAGAAAAATAAAGTAAGACACAACAGAAAATAATCACACGATGGCAACTTCACAATAGCAGTTCAAACTGTGGAATAAGTGGAAAACTTGAAGTCCTTGAAAAGGATGGCTTGAAACTTCTACTGAGATTTCCATTGTGTACTACAACTGACAGGAGTGTCCCTGGTGGTGCAGTGGCTAAACCGCAGCGTTGTCAACGCTGAGATCTGGGTTCGATTCCCGGTTAGGACACTCCCCGGGCAGATGGAGCTCGTTAGCCCTGTAAGGCAANAATCCATCTACGTCCTGAGGACCTCGCTGCCACCGTCCAAGCGTGCTTGGCCCCGGCAGATGAACCTCAGGATTAAAGGGTGGGCTCAGTTCCGCGCACACTGTGTCTCACCTAAAAAATCCAATGCGCAGGCTGGAAGGTGTAAAAACCTTCCCCGGTTCTTCGTTCGCGAAGAGACTGGCCATTATATACAACTGACAGGGTATTATGATTTTTGAAATAGCAATACAGACTAGATCTGATCCTTCTACATGAAAGTATTTGTGTGCTTTTGCAAGCAAAAAAAGGGAAAACCAGGCCTAGTCTGGGAAGCATAAACCAGAGGGTTAGCAGTGTTGTAATTCTTCCAGTGCTTTTTTTTTTTTTTTTCCCTTCTGTGTTCCTGAATTCATAATGTCTGTATGAGGCTATCAAATTTCATATAAGTAAGAGGAAAGTAAATTTATAGCCCTGGTGTTTGCAGTGGAAATCTTGAACTGTAGGACTCTTGGTCTCTGAAGGCTCAAGAAGAACTGAGTAGAAGTGTTTTCAAATTCTTGAAGTTGTCTGTAACGTGCAAGTTGTAATATAGCTGTTACATACAGAAATGGCAAGAAGTTGTGATGTTATTTCCTGTTCCATATACCTGGCATGGGCCTGACTTAGAAAAAATCATTTAAGTTAAGCTTATAACCAGAAGCTTATAACTTCCTTTACAAGCTATGTTTCCAATTCCCTTTTCCCCATTGGGTAAATTCCCCTATGTCAGTATGCCTGTGGAGATATCAAATCTAGTGGAAATATTTCAAGCACACAGTCAATGTAAGGCTTACTTCTTTGTTAAGATACTTCTTATTGAAACAAGAAATAAAGCTCAATCTTGCATGGGGTTTTCTGTTTAAATTTCATGGTAGTGTAAATGATTTTGCAGCACAAAATCTGTGACTTTCGTCTTGAAAACCACAACAGACTGTTCTAAATGTTCCTTCTTTTGTGGCCTGAAAGAATTGAGAAAATATGCACATGCCTAATTTGTAATGTGTGTTTTAACTTAATCTCAGAACAACAAGATTGGTGAAAGAGAAGCAGGCACTGTGTTGGAGTAACGAGAACAAGTCTCTAGATTTTTCTTTTTAAGGGCTATACATTTGAATTTACTTTTTTCCCCACTTCACATTATTTTCTTTTGTCCTAATTTATTGTACTTATGTCCATGTTTTCTTCCCTAGAGGGGACTGCAAAGAAAGGATCTAGAGTTCTGTCTAATTATAGTATGTTGTTGTTATAATGGTTAATGTGCCTCAGCAGAAAAATATTTCAAGACAGTTGTGTCTGGAACTGGGCTTTGTTGAGATTTGTTTGTTTGCTTGTGCGTGTGTGTTTCAGAGGCGGCAGCTTTATGTATGTGCTGGTAAGTCAGTAAATCTCAGCCACCTCAGATAATTTATGAGAATGGGGAAAATTTCTAGACAGGAAGGAGCATATGTTGCTATCAGAAACTATTTTATTAACTTAGGAAAGACCACTGTAATCAAGGAAGGAAGAGTGACCAGCACAGTCCATTTTCTGTGCTCAGAAGAAGAGCCTTCAGACTGACTGTAGCTCATGCAGTAATGAAAGTGTGCTGAGGTAAGGGTCTTCCATTTGAAATCAGTCAGAATTTCTTTAATTTCTTTTTTTCTGTGACAAGCTGTCCTATCTTTAGTGCTCTTTATAACCATTTTTTTTCTCGATGTGAATCTGACTCTTCTACCGAGGGAACCTCAGTTAACAGTTTTTCAAACCAATCTTGGTAGAGCGCTAGACAGAATTCAGAACACTGAAGAAACACTTTGCAGGCATAGTTTACAAATTAACTGGTCACAGTAATGGAACACATTAAGGGGAGGTCCTTCAGTTTGACTATTCAAGATAGCCAGATAGGAGATTTTTATGCTTCCTGCAGTGACCTTCTTGCTGTGTTTCCTTACCTGTCAAGTCTTGTGCTTACTGTGCCTTTTACTTGCATGAGGTTCTCTGCCTTCTCCTGTGCTGTTGGTGGACCTTGTTTGATGTTCAGCAGTAAAACCTGTCGTAACTTCATCCTTCATGTGTCTGCTCCGCCAATTCTTTATTTGGGTTCTGCTCTTACAAGTGGCTAAGTAGTAACTCAATAGATTGCCTTGCATTGCAGATAAATAATTATGTATTTAAGTGACTAGTGGGTTTTATGGTTGTGTTTTGTTTTCATCCCAGTGGGGCACTGCAGTTACTGGGGAGTGACACAGAGCATGTCGTGGCTGACACATGTTCAACAGTTTGCTTCCAGAAATCTCATAATACTTTGTTTTCCTTGTGGAATAACTGTTGGTGAGGCATATGTAAGGAGGATCCAATCTAATTTGACTTCTTTTAGCTTCCAGTCATCTGAATTAGTAGCAGGGCAGTGGAAGCTGGTAGAGAAAAGGCTGAAGGTTAACTAATAAACAGCAGTAACTAAGCCAATTCCCTGCTTCCATCTGTGACAAACTCCACCAGTCCCTATATATATATCCTTCCTCATGTATCTAAGTCACAGGTGAAATTCTCTGTCACAGTAGACTACTGGTAAGGGGAAGAGGGCAGTGGTAAAACAGTGCAGCATGAGCATGCTTAGATACTTCCTACACTTGGTATGGAATGGCTTTTTTCATGGTTTATCCGTGAGACTTGTTCTTTCTGTCGTCTGAACTTCCCCTGTGTTTCAGGTTGGCTTTTGATGGATGGTAGCCAAGATCTCCATGGTTGCTAGTCACCATGGAGTGACGTACAGATGTTCATCTGAGCCCTGTAGGCCAGTGTCAGAGCAGCACAAACTTCCTTGTTAGTAATGGCAGAATTTTTACTCTTTTTCCTAGAGCTCACTGAATGGAACTCTCTTCTAACTTTCAGTCAGGCTTTCCTAGCTGCAGTTTACCCACATCCAGCAGATTTGTTATCCGTACTACCATCTGGGCTGTTATTGACCTCAACCTTATTTTCTGTTTTCTTTTATTTTACTTTTGAATCTAGGTTCCTGTGGGCTCACAAACCTTCTGGGAATCAATCACCTTTATTAATTTCTTTTTAAAGATTTTTGGAGCACAGTCAAAGGATTCAGAAGTAGGGGAAGTTTAAGTGTAGGAGCACTATGCTTACTAACTCTAACTATGTAATCAGTGAGAGTTGAAGTACATAGTATTTAGAATATAGGGGGTTTGCGTTTGGTGGGAGTTTTGGCCATTTCAGACAGAATGAAAAATCTTCTCTATGCTTGCTTTTGCAACTGTATATGACAGGAAGCTGATTTAAGAAGAGAAACAGAAAGGACTTTACTGCCTGTGGAAGGAGAAGCAAGACTTATGTGCTTTGAAAAGGTATGGTATTAGAAGGTTTACTTGTTTAAAAAGTCCAATAGTCATTGCTTATTTGCAGTAGGATACTGTCTCTCAAAAGCTGTCACTCCCTGCAGGTTACTACAGAAATTTCCTGTAGCTTTCTGTCCTCAAGGGGAAAGCTAACCTATACTTGTTCCAAATATTCAACCTTTGAAAATAATGCCCCCTTAATCATAAGACTGTTTCTCTAAAGAAACAATTCATTTAGCTGTGCAACAGCAATTACAGTTGATTTAAGTATAACTGTAAAGCAAGTTTGATCTCTTTATTGGCATTCAACATCAGCAAAATTGATTAGGCCCTGTAATCCATAGTGAAGGTACTACAAAAGAGAAAGTACAAGAGAATATGCAGCAAAGGCTGTGTGGCAAATTTGGAAGTAGAAAATACAATGTAGCTAGTTCTGCTGAGTTTTTTTCTTTTGATTTGTGTATTTTCATGTTCACAGATCTACTGTAGTTTGCTGACATTTAATGCTAACAACTCATCCTCTTGAGGAGATTCTGTTGTAATGTATCCAGTGGCTGTTCCTGCACCAGGAGGTGACGGAAATAATGAACAGCATGGGAAACTTATTTTTTTCCTTTTTGTTTTTGGAGCGGTGTTGCTGTGCGCTGGATTCCTGCTTTCAGTTTTTATTCTCCAGTCATGCCCATCCGGAACCTTCAGTGACTGTAATGAGGTCCTTAAGGCTGCTGGACCAGTGCTGGCTGTAACTGGACTGGTTTGTGTTTTACTGGCACGATCAAGGGCCAGGATGTATATGAGACAAAGACAATTGCAAAATGAGCAGGTGTACAGCCTTGTCTTTTGCCATGGGAACTGTCAATTTGCCCAGTTTCTCATATTTGGATTCTTGTTTTTAACTAGTGGAATGCTAATTAGCATCCTGGGAATTTGGGTTCCTGGTTGCAGCCCTGGCTGGCATACCATGCAACTCAACCACACCGGCAGTTCTGATGTGGACCTCCAGGGCTGTGGATTCCTGTCACTTCAAATCATGGGACCTTTGATTGTGCTCACTGGGTTGTGTTTCTTCGTGATAGCTCATGTTAAAAAGAAACAAAACTTAAATCTCAACCATGAATCTTGTGAAAGTGAAGAACATCCTCAGAGCCCTGAATCTTTTCACGTTACAGTAGGTGGGTAAATGCTGGAACTTTATATTTGAGAGTTAGTAGGGATTTTTTCTCGCTAATTGTTTATCTCTGAATATTACTTGTTTGAGCTCTAGGCATGTCAGTTCTGGCATGTCAAGCCAGTCAAAACAGAAAAATGTTGCTTTGTCTCATACGTTTTCTGTATGGTCAGTTCAGCTACCCTTCTCACAAAGGAAAACCCTTCTTTGGCATAAAAAAGAAGGTCTGACTGTGTAAAGGAAGCAACATAACATGACACAAATGAGTCCAATCCCAATTCCTTTCTCAAAGGATGTAGTTAACACTGCAGATCACAGGTCTAATGAATTTTGTGACTACATTTAAGATTTCTTTTAGCCTTGAGCTTCTGACCCCTTAAACAGAAGAATCTGATTCATAAGCAATGTATTGTATTTTTTTTAAATTGTGGGCATATCTTCTGTCCTTCAGAGATATAATTGCAAGATGCCTCAGTTAATTGCACAGTTTTTGAGCAAATGTGGTATGTTAGCAGAGAATAATACTCTGCATGTAGCACTGGTTTAATGCCCAGTGAATACACTGCATGCATAGGCTGCTCTGATAATTCTGATTTCTCTGATTATTCTGATAAACTCATAGATTAATTAAAAGTCAATCATTGCTTGACTGTCATCTGATTGATTGAACTTGAAATCTGTAATGAAATTCAAGCCTGTGTATAGACCTGTAACCTGGTTACCCTTAGGAAACAGGAGGCTTTGAAGTCTGTTTTCCAGCCACCAGGATAAAGCAGTAGGAAGGAATTCAGATTGTCTTTTAAGGCAAGAAAGCAAAATTTCTTTTATGCTTCAATCAGGATAAGTAAAATGGAAAGGTTGAAAGTTGAGGTCTGATTTACAGTGTTGTTCTGAAACATTGGTGACTTGGTTAGAAAACACTGCCTACCTCACAAATCAAAAATTTTGATGCTCTCTGAGCTGTCCCAGCACACAAATTACAAAGGAAGAAAAGATGCCAGGCAGCTGTGAATGGTTATGTGAAATTATGCCAGCTCACTGACTGATACAAACTTTAAAAAAAAAAAAAAAGTGTTAAACTTTTTAATTCCCAAGTTGCAATTGGCAGATATGCTGCATAGTATACTTAATAGTGAACTGTGTATCAATAGTCCTGGTCATGGTTATTGTTTCTTGAGCTGCAAGTAATTCAGTAGAGAAACTGTCAAGGTGCACAAAATCAGTTATCAGAACCATTAATGACTTGAATTCTTTCATTATAGCACTGCAGTAGATGTGCAGAAACTTAGCTGACCTATTTTAGACATCTGAGGAAAACTAAATCCTTGCCTACCCTTAAAATGAGCCAACAGTAACTGAGTGCTTTGCATTTCCAGTTTCTGAAGACAGACAACAGTGTTTGTGCCTCTTAGATAGATGCAATAGTCCCCCTCCCCAGCTGTGTTTTCTAAATTAAATCTTTTATTTATGAATATGCTACATCTTTATTTTTGAATGGTTTTGATTTCTAATGTACTTCTGACCTACTCTAACAGCCTAGAATATAACAATTCTTTATGCGGGATCATTGCACTTTATCTTAAAAGGTAGGCGAGTACAAATTCTAGGATACTGTTAAAATAACCCGTGATGCTCACTTTCTCAGAGGTAGTAATTGGTGATTTTTCTTCTAGGTGATGTTGTAATGGTATTCCCACCCCCACCACCTCCTTATTTTGCTGACCCTATGTCACCAACTGTGGCACATTGTCTTATGTCGAGTGTTTTGCCTACACATGAAAGTCCTCCACCATACCACTCTATCTTCACTGATGGGTAAGACTGTGTTCTTCTCTGTCTTTGGAAATCTAAGCTGTTTCTCAAGGTATCCAAGACCATGATTTTATATAATCCCTGGGAATTAACTACTAGCCATGACAGTTTTCTAGTGCATAACTCAACTTACTTCAGCTACATGACTTGAATTGGCATTAAAACACTGTAGTATACAGGAGGAATTACAAACTGCAGAGTGTCCTTTTCGAGGATTAAATTCTTACCAGTTTCTTGTGATTGGAAAGAATGTCTGAAGTGAAAACAAAGTCTTAGATCAGTGGCCCTTAGAGTATATTTCTTCCACAGGTTATCCAAGTAAAGATGCTTCTGACAGCAGTGCTTCAACGGCATGATATCCATGTTGCCATATTTTAGAAGCCTCTGTAGAACCAGTGCAGCAATCCCTTCATGACATCTACCCACAGTCACTTTACCTGCCAGTGTGTTCCATTCTCCTGTGTCCCTTATCTCACTGCCTTGGGGAATGAGACCTGCTATGCTGGTCTGCCTTGTTCCTATTCTGGCCGTGTGTTCAGATCAAAGGATACCTTGATATTGCAGGAACCCCTGGAGAGCAGATAAGGGAAGTGGCAAAGCCAGCTTCATCTCAAGATGATGTGCCTTACCTATGCAGCCATTCTTTGCATACATTTTGTATAGCTGATATGCTTAGATGCTGCTACCACCAGCTCAGGGACTACGACCTACCAACTTACCTGTTGGAGCGAGTATAGAGAAAGCCACCAAGTTTATTATAGAGGTCCGGGATATCTCTCCTTTGAGGAAACACTGAGAAATTTGGGGTTGTTCAGCCTGGAAAAGAGAAACCTTCAGATTGACCTAATTGCAGCTTTCCAGTATCTGAAGGGAGCCTGTAAGATGGAGAGGGACTTCTTGCAAGAGCATGTACTGGCAGGACAAGGGGGAATGGTTTCAAATTAAAAGAGTAGGTTTAGATTAGAATTAGGAAGAGATTCTTTACTGTGAGGGTGGTAAAGCACTGGAACAGGTTGCCCAGAAAAGCTGTGAATGTCCTGTCCCTGGAAGATTGGATGGAGTTCTGAGCAACCTGGTCTAGTGAAAGATATCCCTATCCATGGCACTGTGGGGTTGGAACTAGATGATCTTTCAAATCCAGACCATTCTGTGATTCCATGGTTTAGTTTTGGGCCCCTCATGACAAGAAAGATACTGAGGTGCTAGAGCATGATGAGATGAGAGAAGGACATAAAAGCTCGTGAAGGGTCTGAAGCCCAAATCCTCTGAGGAGCGCCTGAGGGGATGGGAGTTTTTCAGTCTAGAGAAAAAGAGGCTCAAGGGAGATGAGAGAAGGACACAAAAGTTCATGAAGGGTCTGAAGCACAAATCCTCTGGGGAGAGACTGAGGGAATGGGAGTTTTTCAGTCTAGAGAAAAAGAGGCTCAAGGGAGATGAGAGAAGGACACAAAAGTTCATGAAGGGTCTGAAGCACAAATCCTCTGGGGAGAGACTGAGGGAATGGGAGTTTTTCAGTCTGGAGAAAAAGAGGCTTGAGGGAGACCTTACTGTTCTCGCAACTACCTGAAAGGAGGTTTTTACAAGGTGGAGGTCAGCCTCCTCTGCCAAGTAACAAGTGACTGGACAAGAGTAGATGACATAAGGTTGTGCTAGGGTAGGTTTATCTTTGCTGTATGTTAGGAAACTTTTTTTCCACAGAAAGGCTTGTAAAACATTGGAACAGACTGCTCAGTAAAGTTGACCATCCTTGGAAGTGTTGGAAAATCCTGTAGATATGGTTTAATAGTGAGGACATGATTTAATGGTGATTGTGCTAAGTTGTCAGTTGGACTTGATGGTCTTGAAGATCTTTTCCAACCTTAACAATTCTGTTATTCTAAGAGCCCCAGCCTGCCTGGCTGTATCCAATCATAGTAGTTGATGGACTGCTGTTTTAAGAGCTTTCCATTGTACTCCAGATTTTTCTACTCAACATGAGGCAATGTGTTCCATGACCAGCTATACCAACTGTGTGCCTGATGTCATTGGTACTTCAGAATTCTAGAGCTATCTTCCTTTCGAAGCAAGCAAGCACAAATCCTTTCCCTGCTTGAAGACCTAAATGCCATAGGAAGGGGATGCTTGTGTTAGCAGTGGTGCTTTTTCTTGTTACCACACTTTTTGCAGACATGTCTGTTTTTTTTAGCAATCCTTTTGAAGTGTACCTGGTGGATTGTTGAGGTTCAGCTTCGCTGTGTGATGGACTCAGTTCTCTAGTCTATCACCCTCAACAAGCTCATTGTACTGTCCTGTTTTATAGTGCCCTCCTCCAAACTCACTCTCCCCATCAATGCTGGAGACAGCAAACGCCTCCTTCTCTTTCTGTTACCACAACCCAGACTCGCCTTTTGTCAAAATCACTTTCTTCTTTTTCAAGATAGAATAAACACCTCCATCAAAAACCTTGCCCACTCCTTCTTGCCATTAGTGTAACACTATTGCACAGAGGGACTGGTCCCCAAACAAAAAAAACGAGCATATACGTACCACCTAGGAAAGGGACATACTCCAGTGTTTGGTTTCCATGGGCTGAGGTTGTCCAGCTTGAGGTTGATAACTTGTGCTGAGGGTTGCAATGGCTGTTAAGGCCTAGCTATACACACAGTTCATTCAGTTTTCTGCTTTTCCACTTAAATTGCCGTAGAGAGGGTTCTTTTTATACTATGCTGAAGAGAGGCTGTTGATCACTTCGTGCCTACCTGCCAATTGAGGATAACAAGGGTAGTTGTAGGGATGAGATGTCAGATGTCAGAATTGATAGAAGTGCTTTACAGAGGACAGTGGCTCTTATGACCAAGTGTGAATTGTTGTGTGAAGAAACATTATATTTTGTTCAGTATAGAAGTTTTTTACCTGTTGTCAGGTTGCAAATGAAATATATCAGCTCTTGGAGTTACACTAATGCAATCAAAGGACACCCAGAGCAACAGGAGAGCCAGTAAGCTTCTGCTGCTGAAAAAGAAAATTTACATGACATAACTGTTCTTATTGGGCAAGGTGAAGGTGTCCACAGCTGATGATGCTTCATACCAGCTGCTGCTACTGCTGGAGTTAGGCACCACACTGAGTCTGTCTGTGCTAGAGCTCCAGCATGTGCTCCGTTCTGACATGTACACTGATGTGTGTTAGAAAGCAAATGGATGTGTGTGAGGAAGTTACTTGTCCTGAGTGTGGCCCTGCTGTAGAGTTTCAAGCAGCTAGCAGAGTGACTTTTGTACCACCTATCTGAAAAAGTACAGTGCAGAAAACTGAGAGCCACAAGTCCTCTCTATCCTGCAATTTCAGGCTCTGAGTTCAGGTGTGGGCTGCCTGCCATGTGCTTGGTAAAATGTGCAAGATTCATAGCATCATGGCATATCCTGAGTTGGAAGGGACCCACAGGGATCGAGTCCAGCTCATGTCCCTGCACAGGACAGCCTCAAAAATGAAATCATGTGTCTGAGAGTGTTGTCCAAATGGTTCTTGAACTCAGACATGCTTGGTGCTGTGACCGCTTCCCTGGTGAGCCTCTTCCAGTCCCCAATCACCCTCTAGGTGAAAACCTTTTCCTGATACTCAGCCTAAACCTCCCCTGACATAGCTTCATGCCATTCACTCTGGTCCTGTCACTGGTCACCACAGAGAAGAGATCAATGTCTCCCCCTCCTCTTCCCCTTACAAGGAAGTTACAGACTGCCATGAGGTCTCCCCTCAGTCTCCTCCAGGCTGAACAGACCAAGTGACCTCAGCCACTCCTTATACAGCTTCCTTTCAAGGCCCTTCACCACCTTTGTTGCCCTCCTTTGAACACTAAGAGCTCAGTATCTTTCTTATATTGAGGTGCCCAAAACAATATTCAAGTTGAGGCTGCCCCAGTGCAGAGCAGAGTGGGACAATCCCCTCCCTCGATCAGCTGGTGATGCTTTGACTGATGCTCCCCTGGACACGGTTGGCCCTCCTGGCTGCCAGGGCACTGCTGACCAGGACCCACAGGTCCTTTTCTGCAGTGTTGCTTGGAAAGGGATTATCAAAGGGTGTGAAAGAACTGAGAGTGCATCCTGCACTGAAAAAGATCAAACAGAGGGTAGTGGGAGAATGGCAAAAAATCTAGTTCCTCAGACTTTTTGTGAGCCCTCCCTGCTGGTGCACAGAGCAGCAGAGAGCGCTGACATACCAGTTAACCCCTGTTTCCTTCATCAGTTCTCCTACAAAATCCTCTCCGGCTGGATCAACTCTCTCAACACAGAAATATTCAGGTTTTGTGCTCTGAACTTTTTGTGATCCCATCAGCATTGCTGATTGCCTGTCTGGACTTGTGAGCATATATACACAAAGAGGCAGTTTGTTGAGACAGTGTCTAGTGGAGTGGGTAAAACACCTCAACCTTGGATACAGAAACCCAGAATCTCTGACCTCCTGCTTTGGTGTTCTGTGACTAGAGGTGCTCTAGCTTCCATGTTCCCCAGTGTCCTCACAGAGACCCTCTGAGTTGATACCACCTCTGGGTTTTTCACTCAGTCCTGCTCTGTCAAGGCTCAGCACTTGCTGGCAGATGATGCATCTTAAATAGTGCAAATTGCTTCCAAGCACTTTAGTAGAAGAGAAGCAATGGCCTCATTGCTCGTAACATAGCGCCATGGTTGAAGATTCCAAAAATGGAAGGAAATAATATTTCATATGTGGATGGCTATTAGGCAAAGGTGATCTGTCTCTTCAGTCCATTGCTCGGTGTTCTGTCAGCAAGTGCTATGGTGAAGGCTGTGTGGGAAGAGAGGGCTTGTAGTAAGCTGAGTCATGGTCTGATCCCAGAATATTTTTTTTTTTTTTTATTCCTGCAGTCTGTTACATAGCAGCTCAGCATTTGTCTTTTAGTATTTCTCTTCATACACACACGCTCGCCGATCAGTCACAGCACTGAAGATGTCATAGAGGTGACTATGCTCTGTGTTCCTGCTCCTCACTCAGTTTTGGTACAGATGTATGCACAAAGGCGAGTCAGATCTGGGAGCAAGTCATGAGGAGAGAGTAGTTCTCTTTCCTTGGAAAGCAGCTGAAGCAATGTGCTGAGGGCAAGATGAGCAGGGTATCAGAACAACCTGGGTTCAATTAGCTTGGATTCAGTTGTATTGGTCAGAAAAGGACAGTGAATATCTAGCTGCGCGTGTTGAATGTCACTGGGAATGTTGTGATCTGGTCACATCGAGTTGCTTCTGTTTCTCCAACTCGGAGCAGGAATGTGACTCCTTGTGTCTGTCATGGATTGCTGGAATGCCTAGTAAAAGTTTCAGATGGCCTTTCATGCAAGATCTCAAATGGCTAAGGATTGTGATTTTTGTGTTGCAGTTTTAAGTCTAGTAACCATCGTTCATAAGGGAAGGGGACAGTGTGTATGTGATATACTACAAAAGGGAAGATACATTAGGAGCTAAGGATCAGAAGATTTAGTAAGACTGTGAGATAGCACTGCCAAAAGAAGCTAATACCCATAAGCCAGGCTGTGACTGGTAATTTGAGAGGTTAGAAGGGAGCTTGTTTTGCCCTTCCCCTCTGAAATAATAGAATTTTCATATGAGTCATGACGTAGCCCACAGAATCAACTCCTAATGCTTGTGCAAGTTCTTTGCTTCAGGGATTTTTAGGAAGTGTCTGCATACATGTATGTTTATGTAAGTCAAGTGGAATTTCACTCACTGTAGATAAATGAATTATGCTAATACACAGTTTTGTGTTTTATAGAGCACAGCTTGCAGATGATGAAAGAATGGTTGCTGTTAGAGACTATGAAACCATATGTACAATTTCTGGAAGCAGCTCACCTTCAGATATTTTACCAATGCTATACCTCTGCTCTGAATCACCTCCAAAATATGAAGAAAAAGCATCAATAACAAATAATGAACATTCACCATCTTCTTCCTCATCTTTTTCATCTATTTCCTTAGCCACATCTGACATCAGCTCATAGAAGACTGTCAGTTGACTTAATTTTTAAATTAAATTGTACAGAGATTTACAATTTTTGAATTTATTTACATTTTGTAATAAAAGCAATAATGTTGACTGTGTCTAATTTTTCATCAGGAATAACAATGAATTTGGCTTTCAAGAAATAATAGATAATGCTGGACTTCTGCTAAAGTAGTCTGAAGGGAGTTCACTGCAGGAATGTTAAATGCTCATCTTACTCTGTTACAGCTTCAGTTTCTAATTTTAATTGTTCTTTTTATAATGAAAATGTTACGTAGAGACCAACTTTTTTGATTATTTTAATTAAATCTGTTTGGAGCTTCAAAAAAAGAGAAATAATTAGAAAGTGTTTTCATTTCTATTTTTACATGACTTTTGTGGAAAATAGTGGTTTGCAAAGTTACTGACTTTGTAAGTATTCTGAGACCATTCACAAATAAGGATGTTTAAGCTCAGTACCAGATATGCTGTGAAAAACTTAAATGGTTACATTTTGTTCTGCCTGGTAACAAGCATTCCATAGTTTTATTTAGAGTGTCTCTGGTCCTTATGTAAGTATAATCCCTATGGAAATCAGTTTTAGCTACAGTTAAGAGCCCTAAGGCAACCCTGAGGATAGTTAATAGGCTAACAGTTTAACTGCAGTAGTGACTGATTTCAGGGGGATTATACTGCAGTTTTATATCATCATTCATGGTTTATACAAGGAGTGCTTATTCTGTGAAATTGAGTGCCACAAAGCAGTGGTATCTTCCAGGTGCAGACATTACTTATCAGTATATGCAGGAGAGGCAGTTTCATGGAAACACATGCAACAAATGTTTTTAACCGACACAGTACTTGACAGATTCTTCGGAAATACAACCCTCTTAGGTCCTCCATCCCACTGCTCTAGTTCTGTTTTGTGGTTGTTTGCATCTCTTCCTGAACAGAAGGATTTGCTTCTGGTAGGTAATGTTTGACACTTTACAGCTTGCTCTGAGCCCTATTTGAGAAAAACAGACATGATTCTGTCCCCAGAAAAAGAAGTGGCACAGCTAATCTTTGGGCTTGGTTCAGCATGGTGAACTTGCCACCATTAAAACGTCTTGCAGCAGTGATCTCTGTATTGTTCAGCTGAGTCTCTGAACATGTATGTGCTTTGGGACCTCACCTATACCTCAGCTTGTATTCTGCCTTGCTGAATCTGGCTGTAACAGAATGCCAAACTATGAATTAAGCATTCAAATTCTCTCCTGTGCCTAGGGAAAGGCGGTTAGCTTGTGTCATCCTCCTATGAACATGCCTCTCACCTGCTGAGTGCTTTAGAGAGATGTTCAGGAGCTCCTGCATTTGCCATTTCCAACTCTGTGTTGTTCCCTCAGTCATGCTAGAGCAGCTCTTTGCGCAGCCACACAAAAACAAACCAGCCAACAAGAGGTATATTTAGCCAGCAATAGAGCTGAGGGGCTTATGCATGCAACGTAATGAGCAAACACAGCACAAAGAGGGATTTTGTATGTGGGAGCTGATTAAACTGGCATGACTCGGCCGTGGGAAATGTCTGCATGAAGAAAGGGAATCCACAAAAGCCAGAAGGCATATTATCCTCTTTTCTCTCAAATGTTTTTTACCTAGTGAGTTTTTCAAGGATGCTGCTCCTTGTGTGCCATCTGCAATACAAGCTATGGTTTCCATCCTTTTGATTATTCTTTTTTTTAGCTTTTGTTTGACCTGTTTTAACAGTGATGGCCACTGCTGTGCATGATGTGTGCCTACAAAGCCTTGCACATGTCAAAAGGGCCTGTTTCTCTCTGGATTTCTCATGCTATTCTATAACAAGGACAGAAGCCTTTTACCTGAAAGATACCATGCAACCAAGACCCATGTTGGCTTTATGCTTTTGTCTGGAACACTTATTTTCTGAAAAGGCTTAACATCAAAAAAGTATTTAAACAAATCTTAAAATATGTCACCATTTAAAAAAAAAAACAAAACCAGTCGCATGTGGTTGCTAACTGAAAAAGTATTAACCTTTTTTGCTGCTTGCAACCTGCTGAGTCAGTTGCTCTCAAAATGTACCCAAGAGACCACACAAATCAAGTAGCATATGTTGACTCAGCTGAGTCCTCTATAGGAACAACATTATCTTCTTGTTTTTCTTCAAGGTTATTGTGTTTTGATCGTCCTGCAGAGTCTTCAGTGTAGATCCCTTTACTTCTAAAAAAGCCATCTTCACAGAAAACACAGTTTAGAAAGCGGCTGACCTGAGTTTCCTGTGAAGGCTAGGTATTACCTGTGAGAACAAGGATTGAAAACAGAATTTCCTTCTGTATAATTTAGAGAAGATGCTTAGGAGATAGTTCAGTGTGTAGCTGTATAAGCATCTTCTACATTTGACTTGAAGAATCATTACTTGAACACTCAGTGAATGTGCTGGGTGCATCTCCATAAACTGCTCAGCACTGAGGGAGTTAACACTGCCAATGCAACAGTATTTGCCTACCGTGTTGTTGAAATCTTGCAGCAAGGTCAGAAAATTTGAGTAAGGGGCTAAGCAGATCTGTCTTCAGCACTGAAGGCTACCACTGGGTGAACAGCATTAGAAGGAGGAATTTTTGATGTGGCAAGTAGGAGTGAAATGTCTGTGTTAGAAAGGAAGCAACTCCTTGTAAAATTATAAAAGTAGCTTAAAATAATATGGAATAGCTTTTTTACTGCGGAAATGACATACTTTACTGTCACACTAATGGTGCTATAACCCTCTTTCTGTCCTAAGGTTAGCTGAAGTGCTTGACATACAAATGTTAGCAAGCAAATCAAGTTGGTTACTGATTCACACTTACTTAAACAGGCAAAGTGGGAGGTAAGGGTTGCTTATCCTTTCTGAGTGAAGTTAAGGTCTCTCTTGCTGCCAGCACTGAGATTGCTCCGCTTCTAACTGCAGCACTGCAATCCTTTGAATGTGAGAAGGATTCACAAAAATATAATGAATGCCTTTTCTCTAGGGGTCTTTCTTCCTGAATCACCAGCAACTGAAAAAATGAACAGTTAACTCATCTAAAAAACTGAAATTGCACAGATCTTTGCAATGTTGCTATGTTTTTAGGATAATGACACTGGATTGCACCCCCCCACCCATGCCCTTTGTGTTGCTGTATCCATTTATCCCTTTTCCATCCTATCTCTTCAGAGTCATGACTTCTAGGTCCAGTCCCTCCACAGTTCCGCAGTGAATGTGCCAGACTTCATCTAGATCAGTGCTCCTCCCTCTATCATACATGCATATACCTAAATTGTAAGTATGAATATACTTTCAATTTGGTGTGCCTGCCGACAAGATTTCCCTGGAGCCTATAAAACCACCTTGCAGGTAAACATAGTTGTGGGCAGCTGGCTGAACCTGCTCCTCTCAATTTGTTTTTGCTTTGGTGCTGGCAGAGCAGTAGTTCAAAGCCCTGGAGTACAAGGCCTACTTATGGTGGTTCTTCATATACTGCCCTTATATGTATTATTTGTACTTTCCACTAAAGATGCCGTGTGCAGTTGCCTTTCCCTAGGAAAAGGGAAAGTAAAGTCATTGGCTCTTTAATCTCCCTACAATTGAATGTCTCATTATGGAGTGATAATTTGTACCTACTAATTTTTAAGCCAATCAGTGTGCAATACTACATTTTGTGGCTTCCATTTGCATGTTGACTAAGTCCCTCCCTACATTACAGGACTATGAGAAAATAAAACCTTACTACAACAGGCTGATAACGTATACAACTGTAAAAATAAGTAAAGGAGAGAAGAAAAGGGTTAAGTGAGGGCCTGTGTTTACTAGGGTGGCTCTTGAAACAGGTTAGAGAACTGAGGACATGCAGAGCACCTGCTTCCAGCAGCAAGCACTGCAGGAGAAGTCTGCATTGGTGAATGAAAATTATGTAGAAGAACAGAAGGCAAAGCAGTGCATGTGTTGAGGGGTAAGATCTGAAGCAGATGAGAACAAAACTGTAGTGAGATCTGAAAACAGCACTTATTCTGAAAATCCTCCCTCTTCTTAGGTTTCACAAAACTGTTTTGCTTAAGAGTTATTCAAGGTAAAAAGGGATGCATTTAGTAAATCAGCATCTTTAAGTGAATTCCCAGAACACACACTTATTGGCAAAGAAAAGTACTGACCTTAAAAAAACCTGTGTGATCCAACAATCTAAGACCTTGACAACTGCCTGAATGCAGCATTAGCACTGTCTGGGGAAATAATTGCAGAAATGTGGTGAGTCTTAGAGGAAACTATGTCTTACAAAGAGAGGGCAGTTTACAGAGAAAGTAATTTTAATGTAAGTTTCACAGAAGTTTCACAGAATATTCTGAATTGGAAGGGACCCACAAGGATTACTGAGTCCAATTTTTAACTGAATGGCCCATACAGGAATCAAATGCACAGCCTTGGTGTTATTAGCACCATGCTCTAAGCAGCTGAGCTAATCTCGGAGTGGATTCTACTGCACCAAATGGAAAGTGTTTTCCATCCTATTTTCAAAGTTCCAGTGGCAAGTAGCCTGGGAAAGAAATAAAAAAGAAACCTGTATTCTCCAGCTCTGCTGTGCATTTGCTCAACAATCATGAAGTCATGTTCTAGACCAGAGGCAAAGAGAGAGCCATGGGATGATGCAACACCCCACCTGGAAAATTCTGATTCCAAACAGAATCTAAGGACCACTGCATAGGATTGAGGAAGTTCTTCAGCACAATCCATTGCAAATAACAGTTGCAGAGTTCTTGAATGAATGAGAGGAGAAAGGTGACAATACATCTGTATGTTCTGTTAGTAAGAGAGCCATTATAATACAGTGCTGCTTTTAAAAGGATGTTGGAAAACCTGCAAGATTCAGCAGTGGTAAGAATGACTCATGGTCTGGAAAAACCTGATTTTCAAAGAGCAGTAATAGAGGTTCATTCCATTAAGTTTAACAAACATAAGGTTAAAGATTACGTAAATTTTGGCTATAATTACCAATACAAAGACAGATTGTCTAGTATTTCAGCACTTTCTAATTTAGTTATCATATGAAACCACTGCACTGCAAGCCTGAACTCTTTGCACTATAAGAGGTGCATGGAATCCTGACTAGACTTGGTGCTGTGGGAAAGGCTGATCTTGAGTGTATTTGTCAAAAAATTTGCTGGCACCCTGGATGATGGAAGAGACATAATACTGACTTTGGAAACTCCACAGATGTTTTTTTAAAGGAATCCAGCAGTAAAAGGTGTTAGACCTAATCCAGACCACACAAGGTCTATCTGCTATCAAATGAGAAAGACATACCTTAATTGCATTCAGCATCAGTTCTGAAGGTGCCAAATTTGGTGGGCAGCCCCTTTCAGAAGACAGCTTATCACACTCTGTGATAAGAACGCACACTAGACTAAAGGCGCCGTAACTGACTTTGAAGTCTGAAAGCTCAGTTTTCTAGTTCTAGAGCTATTTTTATCTTAAAAATCTCAGGATAAGCTTGCTTCCCCAGAGCTCCTGCTAGCAGGAAATAACATTATGGCTTATACTGCCTGAGTAGTAACCAATGTCCTGTGTATAGTCCTGTGCCATGCTAGTCAAACAGATCAAGTTGCTGGAGATTTTCTTCCTTAAGGAATTATACAAAGACGTTCTACCATAACCCTCCAAGAGCAATTACTTTGTTCTGAAACTCTTAGGAAACAAAAAATCACACAATTCAGTTAATCTTCCTGCTTAATATATGGGACATAAATTCAGCAGAACAATTCATTGTGACGTGAAAAAAGTATTCTAGGTACTTCTGAGTACAGGATAAGATCCCTTGCTCTACCAAGTTTAGCATTACAGGAGATGCTTTCCTATTCTTGCAGTGATAGGCATTACTCTGTGTAAAATCTGAGGAAGGGATGGAGATCCCACAACAAAAAATGTCCACAATTAAGGGGAAATTACAGGGCAGTTATGCTACCTTCAAGCAGCTGGAAAGCTTTGGTTGGCTTACAGTAACATTTCTCCCATAACCAGCAGCTCTTCAGGTTTTTTAGCGCTCACCATCCTGTTGCTGCGTACCCTCCCACCCACCCAGTGGTTGCCCCAGCAAAATATCAGAAAGCCTACTTTGATATTTTTTTAAACCGTGCAAAACCAGCTGCAAGAGAGGTCCAGGCACAGCTATAAATGTCATGCTTCAGAGCACAGCAAAGCATTCCTGGCAGTGGCCATGCCTTCTCCTGCAGAAAATGGAGCTGGAAGTGGAGAGACAGAATTTTCACACTGCTGTTGACTAAACAGATGCTGTCCATATGTTGGATGCATCAACTAGCTGGGGCCTAGGAAAAGCTGCAATAGTTCCAGCTTCCTTTTTCTCCCATCCAGTGTGGGCATAGTAAGTATCACAGGTGCTAAATTAAAGAAGAGGATAAACAAAGAGATAAGCAGCCGTTCAAGGGTGAAACCATTTTGGAAGTGGTGGTGGTAATTCAAGAAATATTTAGCAATGGCTTCAGGCTTCACTTCCCAGACCTTTATTCTCCTAAGCAAAGTTTATTCTTTCACATGATGGACTCTGTTAACCATACACACACAAAGTTCTTGTATAACTAACCTGAACCTTCGACTTTAAATGCTCTACCAAGTCCCTTACAAGCCCCCTTTCTCTTGAGGCAGAAGATACATTATACTCAGTAATGGAGCAAAACAACAACAATGTAGAAGATTATTCCTTGAATGTCTTTTCTGTCACTCCTTGTCAACCAAATAGATCTGATGCCCTAGTGTCAGATGGGGATAAAGCTGGCGCTACTCTGCTCTTTTCAGGTGTGTTTTTGGGACTGGTGGGGATCACTTTCACCGTGATGGGATGGATAAAATACGATGGCATTACTCACCTGGAATGGACTCAGTTACTGGGACCTATTCTGCTTTCTGTTGGAGTGACTTTTATTCTGATTGCTGTTTGTAAATTTAATATGCTTACGTGCAAGTCCTGTAAAGAAAGAGAGGAAAATACGTCAGACCTCGACCAGACTGCAAGCGGGCAGTCCTTTGTCTTCACCGGCATTAACCAGCCTATAACTTTTCATGGTGCCACAGTGGTACAGTATATCCCTCCACCGTACCCATCCCAGGAAGGCATTCCTGTGACTCCCAGCTACCTTCACCCAGTGCTCAACTGCTGCAGTGCTGTTTCCTCCAGTGCCTCTCTGATTCCCACCCCAGGGTCTCCTCACTTCTGCCCTGCTTACCCTCTGGATAACCTGGCTTTTACTGGAGATGAGAGCTACACCACATATCCTGCAGAGAATACCAGGAATCACAGGTACAGCTTCTGAAATGCCTTAGTGGGTTTAGACACAGACTTCTGAGTATTTTAAGTACTACATGTGATTTCATAGGAAACAACAGCTAGTCCAGGGTATTTTCCTTCCTCAGACATTTTTTTTGTCTTTGTTAGGAAATCTTCACAAGTAAAGAGTAAGTGGGCATGCTTTTCCTGAAAGTATTTTTAGCTATTTTAAATTCTCTTACAAATGCCTTTCAATTTTCTAATAAATCTCTTGTTATTTTTGAAGATACTAGCTCCTGTCTGTGCAGGTTTTTTAATGCTTATCTTACCACCTTCTGGTTATTGTGTGTACAGCCAGAGGCTTTCACTCAAACATAATCAAACACGTGAGTCAGCACACAAAGAGCATTTCTGCAACAATGCAATAATCAGTCTGGTACCACATGCTCTCCCTCCTGAATATACCTGGTCATAACATGCTCCCCTCCTACTGTAGAAACCTTCCAACTCTTAGTCTTTTACTAGATTTGAGGCATAAACCAGATCACTGATATTACACATCAGTATGAAACTTCTTAAACTGTACACAAAATAAGTTTATATAGTTCTTTCCTCTAAGGAAAAATATTCTAATTACAGGAATTACTCAGAATTATATCCTTCCTGGAACACAAGTCACTTATGGTTTTTTTATCAAAGCCTGTTTGAAAAACTGCTGACTGCCTCATTGTCCTCAGCAACATAGGTGATAGGCATAGGCAGGATGAAGACAAAGGTCACCTCCTGGCACGTTTATACTTCACAAAAAGAACAGAGCAAACAGCAGAATCTCAGTAAAACTTCATCTTATAGCATTTTCTCAAGAAGCCAGGAAGTACTTCATCCAGATAAGGCAATCAGGATGAAGCATTGAGGTTGCTTGTATGCTTTGTGTTTGGTAAATTCTTTCTGTATCTGCTCCTCTTCCTCTTTTCAGGTCAGAGGACAGTTCTGATGAGCCAGAAGAACTGGGGGAAGACTGTGATAACTTGTCACCTCCACCTTATGAAGAAATATACCCACTGTCTTTGTAAAATCACCATGGACAACAGATGAGAATTCTAAGAAACGCCAACATGAATCCCAGAAAATCTTTTCTTTAAGCACTTGTGTGATAAGCAAGTGTGAGCAAGATCTTGGTACTGCTACGCAGTTCAGTATCACTGAAGATATTTATCCAATCCCTTCTTTTTCTCTGTCAAAATTCATTAGCCCTTTGTGATGCAGTTTAATAACAGAGCTATTAATTATTTAATAGCAAGGCTATTAAACTTAAGGATCTAAATCCATATTAGGACTCCCCAATAAGAAACTTGATTTTTAGACTTGCTGAAAGCAGTGTGAACTGTGAATGCGCAAGATGTTTGTGGAAGGTCGTGATTGCTCCTGGACATTCAGCATCACTAGAAAACATTTGATTATTCTTTGTATATTTTTACTCTTGATTGCTTGGGAAACTTCAAAAGTGCTCAAGTCTGATCCATGAAAATGCATATTATATCTTAATTCTTTCAGATTCTTTAGGCTATCTTACTCATTAATAAGTCCAGTCTACAGATTAGACTCCCTCTGCGTGGTTTATCTGCACAACTCAGTCCTGTAGGCATTTTTGGAGCACTCTGCTTGAACCAGAGCATCTCAGAACAGAAAAAACACAAATAGTGACCTCTGCTCACTTTACACAGGTCTCTAAGAGATCTTGCCTGTGTCAAATTCAGTTCCCTTCCCCACCTGCTGGGATGCAAAGCACTGTCTCCCACAAGGAGTCAAAATAATAACTAGTAGGTTAATGTGTCTAGAGAAAACGGCACCTTTCTGAAGCCTTGACAGGGGTGTGTGGTCCTGCCACTGTCAAGGACTGACAGTCACAGCTTTTACATGCTGCACCCTCACTCTGCGGTAGAGCACACGACTCAGTCTGTACGGATTATGGGATGCATCAACTTTCTCTTACTTGTCAACACAGCTGTCTCAGCTCTGGCCAGATTTCATCTATCTGTGATTGATCTCATTCCTGAGGGCTGGAAAAGCTTGGCACTTGAGCACAGACAGTTGCACACCAACTGGATATATCTGACTGCTGGAAGTCATGCAGCCTCCCTAGGCTCTGGGTGGAAAGGTGCATTCAGAATATTGTCCATTTGCATGAAGCTGCAAGTGCACACCAACCTCCCTGTCCTGTCTACTTAGAGGTTGCCAAGAAATAAAGCATTTTTGGAGAGAGACAAGCCAACCATTGCACTCCACAGTGGTGGACAAGACACTAACAGAGGTCATATTTGGGTCGCAATATGTAAACTGACTCAAAGCTGGATTAACAACTGAAGCAGCAGCTACTGAACAGTGACTACGAACTATGTGCGGGGTTTTTCTCACTAGAGAAATATGGGGCATGCTGGTTTTCAGCAGCGATGGATGGAGTTAGCAGGTAGGCACGTGTGGTTGAAGGGAAGCCTGCTGTTTTCAGTATGATCTCTGTGGGATTGAGTGAGAGAACAGAAGATCTAAAAATAAATGCAAGTTTCTTTTATGGAAGTCTCTTGCTCCTCTTCTAGAATTTACACGGAGGTGAACTCATCCTCCCTCCACAGCAGGAAACTGGAAGGTCCCAAATCCCCAGTTAGTTCCACATGGACAGATCCCTGCACTTAGCACGGAGTTCTGCTGACTCCAGCAAGCACTACTATAGCACAGAGGTCAGGTTTGATGGATCCAATTGCAGGACTAGGGTCAAAATTTCTACTCAGTCACCCTCCCACACAAGAGGACAATTCCTTCTGTCAGAAACCACAGACTTCCTGGTGCTCTCCCCCCCACATATATATGTCATAAGCATGTTTCATGAGGTAATCCTATCTTTCTTACATCAAATCACACTGTCAGACTAAATGAGAAAACCTTGAAGGTTGCACTATGAACTCCATATTTATTTTAAAGTTTATTTCTGTAGACTCTAAATTCATTGACAGAGGCCTCGGTTTCTTTTTAAAGAGAAGACTGAATATTGAATTTAAATAGCTACATATTAAAATTATCTTGACCCATCAGATGAATTCTGCCTGAATTCTGTGGGAGTGTTTTAATGCTGTGAGAGTGTTTTAATGAACGGGTATGAGAAGCTCCAGTCTGATGACATTTCCTTCCTGTACTGATTGCTGATTGTTGTATCTAAGAACAGAGAAAAATTCTATTAAGGCTTTTTTTCTTCCTCCTCCTTGTACCTTCTCCTTTCATCCTTTTTTTAAACAATTTTTTTATCTCTAGAGTGGTTTTTTTGTTTGCTTGGAGGTGTTTTTTTTTTTTTTGGGGGGGGGGTCTCAGGGGGCATATTGTTTTGTTTTCAGTTTATTTTACTGTGATATAACCATCACAGGAATCTCCTCTCAGCAATAAGAATTCCTTCTGCTCTATAACGAGTGAAATAATAAACCTGTTAGGGAAGGTCTTCAACCAAGTTGAACTGTCACACCCCTTCTAGATTATACTGATGTAGCTCCACAGAGCACCTGGAAGATTGTATTTCAAATTTTGCTCAATCTAGTTTTCATTTAAACTGGTCCTCTTCAAGCGAAATTACCTTGTCCCACATTGCTTGTCATGCTACTGCAGACCTGCAGAGTGTTGGGGGGTTTACAGTTAAAGGCACCTTGCATTCTAGTCATAGTGACAGAATGTTGTGAGTTTTCAGCTGTGTAACCCTGCATGGGTTGTTGAGATTTTTCCTAATATGACTCTATTTATAAGATTTTGATCATAAGGTAGTTAACATATGAAATCAGTCGAGACATGTCTATTGATATGAAGCTGAGCATGACCTGTTCATTGCATTAAAAACTTCTGCTCTAAGATCAAGGACCTATTTCCAGACGCTAAATGCCACACGCTAAACAGAGCTGCAGGGTGCGAATTTCTTCTCAGATAAATCTAAATCCGAAGTCTGATTTTTAACACTGGCGCTGCCGTGTCTGCGAGGCAGTACGGGAGTACACAAGGCACGGTTCGGTTTGCTCTGCTCCAGCAGCGCTTTTCTCTCAGCAGCCGAATCCCACCAGCGGTACCTGCTCCTGAGATCGATGCTCCCGTGCCGAGCGATGGCCCTGCAGGCGCGTATCCCAGCGCAGAGCCTGAGCTTTCAGGGGTGCTGAAATCCTCCGAAGAGCTATTTTTAAACTGAATTGGGGTTCTTAGGAAATCTGGGTCTCGAAACAAAACAAAACAACCCCCGCGGGGCCCTGCTCCTAGGGGCTCCCTCCGCAGCCCCGCCGGGCCTGGCAGCGCCCCCGCCCCTCAGCCCCTGTCCCGCCGCGCCGGCACCGCCAGGGGGCGCCTCAGGGAGCGCCCCGTGCGGCCCCGCGCCGCGGAGCGCCTGCGGCGTGAGGGGGAGAGGCCGGTGTGTTTTCCCGCTAACCCCACGGGTGGTGTCCAGCTGGTACCTTCTAACCGGCTGCTTAGCTGTATGACACCTGGTGTTTGAGCCCGTGGAGCCGAAGCTTTTCTCCTTTGCTGCGAATACTAAAGATGTTGAGGAGTGCCCTGCGCTCCCTTACAGCCGAGAGTTGGCCTGATTACGGAAAAAATACCTGGGGTGAAAGACCCAGGGAAACCGCCAAAGAACAGGGCATCCCGTCTGCCACAGCAGGAGTGGACATCTGGAAAGTCTTCGGCCTGGAGGGAGACGCGGCACAGTGCACTCATGCACCCCCGCCCTCCTCCTCCTCACCCCTGTGACCTAATGGGACAGGCTTCTCTCTGCATGAAGGAGCAGGGGAGAGTCCAAGGGTCATTCGTGAAGAACTAGGGCATGCTGTTTATATGCAGCACCTACCATAATCTGTGCCTGCTGCAAGTATCATTATTGGCTCCACTTTAGCTGTCAGGATGAATAGACATCAAGAGGATGTGCTGAACGTCGCTTTTGCCATTCCATCGTCAGTGTGAATCATTGTGTCTGTCAGAGAAGCATACAGCAGAGCCAGGTGGGTTCTGCAGTGCGGCTCAGCAGGAGTGGGTCTGAAAAGGAAACAGCAGGTGCAGAAAACCCTGTATCCACATTCACTTCACTTTGGAGAGGTTTATATCAGACCTAGTCATGTGGACTGGAAGCTGATCAGTAGTTGAAATACACATACTGTTCTGCCATGATATATTTTCTGGTCCAGCTCCATCCAATAGAAATTACTCTGCAAAGCCTCATATGGCAAGTGGGGACTGCAGGGAGAGTCTCTTCAAAAGTTCCTTATTTAGAGACATTGGTTGCCTTACAGACATGGGGTGACTTGCAGCAGCTGCAGAAGTTGCATGTGGTAGAGCAGACCCATTCAGACCTACCCGAGAGGCTTGGCTCAGCTTCCCGACACCTGCAGTCTCACAGAACAGCCTTTCCCAGTACTGATGGACGTTACTTTGCGAGGTCTCAGTGTATAGTGTCGACACCCTCCAAAGGCACATATAGACTAATCTTGAGATGTTTGTGTCCTCCTGAGCAATATTTGCAAAGCAATGGAGAAGTTTTTCTATAAGGAACAGGAAAAATGGCTCCCCGGCTATTGTGATCTTGCACCTCGCCCCATGTGTGATAACAGCACAGGGTCAAGGGTAAATCAGTATCGCCGTGATTGTTTGTATCTGTGTCATGTGTGGCATGTCTAATGAGCAATTGATTGCATCTACACACGCTGTTTTGCAAACAGCATGAGACATGCTGAAGCAGAGTAGTTGCTGTACTTCTTTTATAAAATCCTATGATGAAATTGTTGTTCTCTTGTTTGGGTTATATCATGTCAGATTTTATTTATTTATTTTTGCAGATGAATCATTCATCATCAGTCTATATGTAAGACACTGTTCTTTTTTCTTAGGGAAGAGGGCATGCTATTTAACAGCTCTGGGCAGATGACCTGATAATTTCATGTTTTGCATAGCTGCAGCATCCTCTTTACTTACAGTTCAGTGGGTCTTATCAAGAGCTTAGCTCTAAGGTAAAGCTTCAGGCTTTTGTCAGCTAGAAGACATACCTAAGGAAATATTGAACAATATTGCAGTCTGAGTCCATGACTAAAAAAAAACAAACAAACATACCACCAAAAAAAAAAAAAAACACCACAAAAACAAACACAACCCAAAATCCAAACAAACAAACAAACAAACAAAAATCAACCAATCAACCAAAAACAAAAGGACCAACACCAAAACAAAGAGGTGTGCGTTTTAAACTTCAAACCGTGGAACTGTTAATCGACACTGCTTGGGACATCCTTGTTTTTCTACTGCTCTACAACCCAAACCCAGGCAGAAATA